TCCTCTTCCCAGAGGTGCAAGCCACCTCTGATATACAGCAAGCTTCCATACATGTGTGGGCTGTTTCCCAATGCTCAATCCTATCCCACTGGTCTATCTGTCTCTCCCCATGTCAACACCACATTGCCTTAATGACCACTGCCTTGGAGGAAGTACTGATGTTTGGTACAGCAAGTTCTCCCACCTTGTTCTTCTTCAAGAATATTGCTAATTCTTGGCTCTTTGCATTTCCAAATCAGTAGAATCAGCTTGCCAAAGTTCACACACAGAAGCCTTGAGATTTTTATTAAGATTTAGAGATAATTTTTTCAGATTATCTATTGAGTCTTCTAGTCATTGGAATGAAAGCATATTTCTCCATTTATTTATGTCTTCTTCATTGTCTCTTATTAAAGTTTTACCATTTTCTCCACAGAGTTCTTGCATATCTTTAGTTATATAATTAATATTCTTTTGTGCCGTTGTATACAGGTTCTTTTTTCACTTGTTATCTCACATTTTTGATTTACAGAAGAGAAAAATAGTACTGAGTCCCCACACCCCTTTCACCAGCTTCCCCTAGTGTTAGCATTTTACACAACCATGGTACATTAACCAAAACTAAGACATTAACATTGGTACAACACTATTAAGGTAGAGTTGTTAATTTATTTGGATTTCCCCTGTTCAACTACTAATGTCCTTTTTCTGTTCTGGGATCCCATCTATAGGATCTATCATTACATTTATTGACTATGTCTCCTTAGTTATCTCCAATTGGTGACAGGCTTCTCTGTCATATTTTTCATTAACTTGACATTTTTGAAGAATACCAGTCAGGTGTCAGTGTCCCTCAGTTTGGGTTTTTCTGGTGTTTTCTCAGGACTAGACCAGGGTTATAGGTTTAGGGCAAGAACACCAGTGAGGTGAGATGTTTTCCTCATTGTGGAACATGACATCAATATGGTTTATCACTGGTAATATTAGCCTTGAGCCACTCGTTTAAAGTGGTGTCAGCCAGGTTCCTCCACCTGTAAGTGAATTGCTGTTTTTCCCTTTCCATAGTTTAGTCTTTAGAAGTGAGTCACTAAGTACGGCCCACACTCAAGGGGGCGGGAGGGGGGAGGAGTTCAACTCTACCTCCTGCAGGAGAGTATCAAAAAAATATTCAAATATATGTTAAAACTACCACAGCAATTAAAACATATTTCAAAGAAGAAACTTTGAAGTTTCTCAAAGTTCACCAACTAATTTTAGCATTCATTCATGGATCATTTTCCTGCAGCAAATATTACTGTGATGTACATCTATTTTCCTCATTCCTTCTACATTTTTTATTTGGAATTCTTTTGAAAGGAAGATTTTGTCCCTCTCCTCCAATTGTTTATTTAATTTTATCAGTGTGGATTCAGGACTATTTGAGTTATAATCCAATATTATCATTTATTTTGTTGCTCAAATTGTTCTAGCTTTAGCCACTGGTGGGTTCATGTGTCCTTTTGATGTGCTCGCCCCCCATCCTTTTATTTTTAAGCACTTCCTTCTCTTCTAGCACCTGACAATACTTCAGGCTCATCTCTTACTTTCCCTGCCCTAGCCCTAGAATCATCCATTCATCCAGAAAGCCCTAGCTCCTTTTATTGCAGAATGAATAAAAAACCTGGATCTATGCATGGGGTATGCTCATGGCTACTGGGATATCACTGCTTCCATCTCCTCTCAGTGGACAGAGCTAGGAAATATATGTATACATGTAACCTGAGTACGCACACATCTTTACATATCTGTATCTATATAAAGCTAGCCATGAGTTCATCCTTGCCCCTTCCCCCACAACTTATTTATAGCTTTTTCTCTGACAGTGAGAAACCTGGCTCCCATTACCTACAGTTCATTTAGTTGTGTAACCCTATTGAACATGTAGCAAATTTGTATGTGAAGCAAACTTACTTACTAGGTTAGAGTGTTTATGACAGACTTTGTCTTTAACCATAAAGTGTCCAGTCAACACAGTGTTTTTGAAAGCAACATAGGCCAGCTCCTCTTCCTTCTTTCCTTTCACTGCTATGTCATTTGTAGCACACAAAGCATTCACTCATCAGAGTGCTTTCCATCGTAGGATTCTCCAACATCCAGGTTAATTTTTTAACTTTGCATATGGTAAAATTCACTCTTGGAGATTCAGTTCTGTGAGCTTTGACAAATGCCTGGAGTCATGTATCCACAACCAGTATCATTCAAAGAAGTTCCATACCCCTAAAAATACCCTGGGGTTAGTCTTTTGAAGTCAAGTACTTCTCCCCTAACCACTGGCAGCTATTGATCTGTCTTATGTCCCTGTAGTTCTGTTTTTTCTAGAATATCCTATAAATGGGATTCTATAATATGTATTCTTTTGCATCTGGCTTCTTTCACTGCTTAGCAAAATGCACCTGAGATTCATCCATGTTGTTGCATAAATCATTAGTTCATTTCTTTTTTATTGGTGGGTGGTATTCCATGGCATGAATATTTACCACATTTTGTTTATCCATTCACCTGTTGAATGACATCTTCATTGTTTCCACTATTTGGTAATTATGAGCAGAGTTACTATATACATTTATGTACAGGTTTTTGTTAACATAAAAATTCAATTCACCTGAGTGGGAAAGGAACCTCTAGGACTCACGGTACGTATATGTTTAAATTTTCTAAGAAATTGCTATAATCTATTTCCAAAAGTCACTGTGCCATTTTGCATTCCCACCAGCAACATACGAGAGTTCTATGTGTTCCACATCCTCAAGAGTGCTTGGTATTATCAGGTTTTGAATTTTTTTTTAATTTATGGAATTTCATTGTGGTTCTAATTTGCATTTCCATATTTATGTTAATTGTGCATCTTTTCATGTGCTTATTTCTAATCTGTTTTTTAAATTGGATGGTTCACTTTATTATTGTCAAGTTGTAAGCATTCTTTATATATTCTGAGTGCAAGTCCTTGACCCGATAGGTGATGTGCAAATATTCCTTCCAAGTCTGTGCTTTGTCTTTTCATTCCATTAACAGTGTCTGTTGCATAGCAAAAGCTTTTAATTTTGATAAAGTCCAATTTGTTGATTCTTTTTGTCTTATGAGTGGAGCTTTTGGTTTTGTATTTCAGAATTCACTGCCAAATTCAAGGTCCTGGAGATTTTTTTCTTATGCTTTCTTCAAGAAATTTTATGGTTTTGTTTCATTTTAGATTTTTTGTAGTAAAGTTGTATGTAGTACCCTTTAAATTTTCATTTTCTAATTGTTGACCATCTCTCACATCAGGCATAGATACTAAATGTATTAAAACTTTTACACACACACACATACGTATACATACAACACATTCAAACAGTTAAATTAGGAATAAATTTAGGAGAGAGTTGTATGACTCTGATGTGGGAAAACCTTCCTTTTTTATAAAGCAAAAGATGTATTATTTTTTAAAAGCATAAAACATTTTCTATGATAAAAAGCAACATAGTTAAGGTGAACAAAACAGAGATAGACTGAGGAAGATAGGTGTACCTCATATAACAAGGAGTTAATGTCTGTAATATACAGAAAATTCCTACAAAGTGACAAGCAAAAATGAGCAAAGGGTATGAACAGGCAATTCTGCAAGAGGAAGCCCAGAATCCAAGCCCATAAAAAGCATTCAAACAGACGGAAATGACAGCAATGCCTCAGTTTTCATCCATGCTTGGTAGTCCCTGCAAAGGTGCTGACAGCCTTCATTTGGGCTTCATTCCACGGTTCATTCAGGCATGGATGTGGGAAAGCTGGGGGAGCCTGAATTGCTATATACAACTTCTTGGGAAAGCAATCCAGCAACATTTACTAACATTACTAAGGAAGCACCCTCTCACCCTGCTCTAATATATCAGCTTTTAATAAAGATGGATGGATGTGACATCACAGTCTGAATAATTAACCAGCTTGACACTATAAGAGCCTGAATGTCCAGGATATACAGAATGGTTAAGTATGGCCAATCTAAACTGTGGATTGTCATGCAACTACTAAAATGATAATTAAATCCATGTCTATATACCTAGAGAAAATGAGATGAGCTTATGTTACAGAGTGACAGGAACAGAGTGACAAGAACAGTGCCATCCCATGTATATAAAAGCAACTCCTACCTGGCATCTGCTACTTGGATGAGCAGAGGGGGTGGGGGCTTGAAATCTAGTTGACGGTTAACACTGATGACCTTAGGGGAGGAAAGCCATTGTAAATCTTCAAATTATTCCACTTCTCACAGATGAGTACTTAATCCTTTTACAATAAAATATTTAAATGAAGACAAACATAAGCCAGGAGCAAATACTGATGGTGTGAACACAAAGTGGGGAGTGACAAGGATCATCTCCTGAGCTCCTGTGTCAAAGTTGCAGAGGTGGGCCCAGGAATCTGAATGTGAAGCCAGCTGTTGTTGGAGGGACTCCTGTGCCTCACTGGGGGTACAACTAGTTGACGTGGCATTGTGTTTTGACAAAGGAGTTCTGTGGCTGCCCCTGCATCCCAGGTTCACCATTCCTCATGGGTCAGAGGTTCTACCACCCCATCTTTCCTGACCCACAGCTCTGTCAATGTATGAGTGTGACAATGTATGGTGCTGGGACCTGTTGTCCCTTACCAGGCCTGTGACTGTCACCTCCGTCTTATTCTTGACCCAAGTGTCAGTGTGAACATGGGAAGAGGCCCAGAACCTGAGGTGGGTAGAGTCCTGGACACCTGAGCACAGCCTCAGGCATAGTTACCACTCTGAAGAGGATCCACTGGCCTTTACTTTTGTCAAACACTGAGTGTCAAGCACTTTAGGGCCATCTTAAACACTCACCCACTCTACCACACCCCACCGTAAACTGGACTGTCAGGGCTGGAGCTTCCAGGCACGAGCTCCACTCCTCACCTGGCCCTGGGAGTTCACAGGCCTGCTCCACAGCACTGGTAGGCTGGGTGGGAAGCCTAATGTGCTGTCCTCTACACTTTCTCCTTAGTGAGGAAGAGCCCAACACTGCTGGAAGTGAGCATGCCCCACTTCATCAGAACCAATAGCTTTGCCGAGGACCTGGACCTGGAAGGGGAGACACTGCTGACGCCCATCACTCATATCTCACAGTGAGTGCCTACATGTGCATGAAGGGCTGGGCTGGAGGGGTCTGGGGCTCAAGGAGTCAGCCTTGGTGCTAGGGAGGGCTTGCTCTCTGGCCAGAGTTCTATCTACTAACCTAGTGCCCACGACTTGATGCCTACCTGGCCCCAGCACCCAGGCACCAGGCAGGAGAGGAGAGCAAGGGTACTTCCTACCACGTCGGGGAACATGATCCTCTTGTTTTGACTTATGGAAAACCAGACTGATCATTTTCCACTTGTTTTCATGCTTTGAGAGTCTGAGATTGTTTTTCTCCCAGCCCCCTCCCCTGCCCCCCAAAAAAGAGACGACTGTTTTTTAGCATTTCCCCGTGGAACCCTGGCCAAAGCCATGGGGCAGATGCCGGGTGCAGTCTGCCAGTTGCTGCTGCTGTCCTCAGGGGCTCCTTCAGGTGGAGGAAATGGCTGATTTTCCACGCCTTCCAGTTGGCCTTCCCCTGAGGCACAGCTGGCCTGGGATGCATGCCCATCCTCCCCCGCTGTCACGCCATGGCCAGGCCAATCCCCCGGTGCCCAGCCATGGTGTGATTCCCCTGCGACATGTGACTCAGTGCTCCCAGCTGGGGCACCCAGCAGTGACAGCCATGCAGTGGGGTCAGTGGGACACCCAGGCCCATTCTGGCCTTAGTCCCATTCTAGCTGCCAACCCATTGGGGATTCCCCTTGATAAATGCCTTTGTGTCAGGATCTGTGAGTGACACTCACAGCCCTTCTGGGGGTCACTTGCTGGGACTCTCGTTCTCTCTACTGATGTTTTTCTAAAGGGTGTTTTGTTCTCTGGACTCTCTGGGGGTCAGGAGGTTGTCCTGAGCCATGTGTGCCTTTGTCATAGTGAGGCCCTGGGCCTCCTGCCTTTGCAGACAGCCAGGTGCAGGCTTGGCCTTGCAAATCACTGAGGAAACTGGGACCCATGGTGCTGGCGGCTGCAAGTGTAACCAAGAGAACTGGCAGGGTTGGGTAGCCAGAATGAGGCCACCTCCAGGGAAGGCGTGGCTGTGTCAAGGGGTAATTATGGACAGGACTTGTCCACTTCTTTCCAGGCTCCCCCAGTTCACAGAGAGGTTGGCAGTAACTCATGGTTGGCATGGTGTGAAGAGGCTCCAAGGAAGCCAGGAGGTCATTGGAAAGCAGGGATGACTAGTCCTGGACACCCCGAGAATAGGGCTCTGAGCTTCTGGGTCCCTCCCAGCTGGGTAAAAAGGCAGGAACAGGTTGAGTGGGGTGGTAGCCAGATGGGCTGCCCAGCTATAAGTTAGCACCAGAAAGCAGAATGATGGTTTATACTGTGGCCAAGGCTTGTACCAAGTCCTGGACATGAGAGACAACTAACATAATCAGTGTTCAAGTTTTGTGGCTTGTGTTGTGTGCAATACAGGTGGCAGTGCCTGCTCAGAGAGGGGACAACCAAGAGTAGACTGGGAACCCCAAAAGACTCCAAGGTTTGGGCCTGGATGCCACCCAGGCCACACTGGGCCACTCAGCCTGTCCCGTCTCATCCTTCTGGCTGCTTGTTCCTCCTGTTAGAGCTCACTTGCTTTGGTTCTCTTGGTCACAGACCAGCCTTCAGACATGGAAAAAGTCATACTGGGAGGACAGGGCCATCACCCTGTCCATCCAGCTGGGCAGCCAGGCCTTACCAGCTTTTGGTTCTTACAAAGCCCCTGCACGTGAAGGTGGTGAGAGATCAGGCACTTACATGGACCACAGACAAACCTGTAGCTGCCCAGTAAATCATCCCTATGGGGATGAGTGCTGCCAGTGCTGGTATCAGCACATGCCAAGCTCCCTGGAGCCAGAGGTTACCCACCTGCCCTGGGGCTGACCCCACGCCAGTGTGACTGTGTCATCTAGGACACTGGGCTGTTTCTTGTTCCACTCCAAAATGACAGGGCCTCAGAGACCTGAACACCCATCCCTAAGCTTTCTGCCCATTTTGGGTCTAGCACATTACCATTCAGCAAGGTCCTGCAGCCTTTTCAGATTGGCACTCCCATGGCCTCCAGTGACAAGTGGGCTCAGACAGATCAGAGATTCCATCATCGTCCAGCCAGATCCCTGCGCCGGAACTTACCAACGCCTCTCTCAGAGCAGACTATTCCAAAAGTGGCAGCTGGATATAAGCCAGCCTGGGAAGGCAAGAAGGAGCCCAGGCGTGGGGCTTGGGGTGAGGGATCTGAAAAGGGGATTTGGAGAGGGGAGAACAAGGAGACTGCTGCAAACGGGCCACCTTTGAGGCACTGTGTACTGGTCCGGGAAGACTCAGGGCTGAGGCTTCAGGGGAGCTGAGTTCCTGCATCCTCAGGAGTCAGGGTATGGTCCCTCCAGAGAGGCCTGCAGGGGCGAGCGAGCATACACAGTGTCAGGGCCTAGGAACTCAGGCTCCTCCAGGGCTACAGGCTGGATACAGGCCACATTCCATCTGGGGAGAAGGCTGGCAGCAGTGGGCACCCTATTTCCTCAGGGCCCAAACTGCCTGGTGGCAGGGATGTGGGGGCTGTGCAGGTCTTCTGCCCACACTGGGGCTACATTCCTCTACCTCCCACACAGCCCGAGTAGTGATTGATGCTAATAATTAAACTTGCCTCCAGCTGCTAAGGGATGCAGTAAAGCTCCTGTGAGCAGCCTGGCCCCATGGATCCTAAACTGGGAAGAGAGGCGCACACCCTGGTGTGTGCGAGGGATAGGGATGTGTGCTGGGGTCTCACAGAGGGCAGAGTGGGTGGGAGGCAGTTACCAAAAAACATTTCCATTTTTCTTCAGCATTTTACTGATGTTAAATGTATTTCCATGCTGGACCAGTTCCAGAATTCAAATTAAAAACATAAATAAAGACACATTTTGTTTCCATCTTGAGCTCTCCCCACCCGCGGGGCCCCAGAGAGGTGAGGTCACTGCAGCCTTGATTACGGGAAGGTCCCTGGGGCTGGGTGAAGCTCCTCTTTCCGGGGCCTGTTAGCCAGAGGTGGGGTGAGGGGTGAGCAGGCCTGATGCAAGCTAGGGAGCCATGGCGAGCTGAGACGTGGGGTATTCACAAGACAGAATGATTTCACTGCACCCCAGCCTATAGGTGGGCCCAACTGCTCAGCCTCAGGACCTCAGCCAGCTCTAGGCAGCCAGGACTCAGCCTCGAACACACCTTTCAGGCAGAAGCTGTCTTCCCAGGTTCAATGGGGCACAAGAGAGCCCCTGACAGCCTCAAGTTCCCTGAGCCCATGGCTCCCACCCAGGCCATGTAACAGGGCTTTTGAGGGAAAAGTGTGAAGTAGAGACTGTAGGTCTGCATAGGCAGTTGGGGAGAACCCTCATGATAGCAGAAGAGCCCTGAACCCCAAGAGCCAAGATGAGTTCTGTGGCCTCCAGTGATAAGTGGGCCCAAGAGCCCAAGAGCCAGGATTCTGACCCACTCACTGTCCTCTGCTCACCAAGGGTCACTGGCACTCACCAAGGGATGGCACCATGCCTGTGTGCATCCCTGTGCCTTGCATGTGATGATCTGCCATCTAGAATGCCCGTCACCCATCTGCAGCCATCAGATTCCCAATCATCTTTCCAACATCTGCTCAGTTGTCCCAGCCTCAGCAAAGCCCCCCAGGATACACTCTGGCTGCACCACTGTGTCCTCCTTTGGCTCTCAAACCCCTCAGTACCCGTTCCCCAAGCCCTTCAAATGGTGCAAGGAGAGAGCAGGGCACGTATAGCCCTCTTGGTCTCTTCCTTGCCAGAATCCCCAAAGCCCTAGGCATGGAGAAGCCCTAGGACAGCCACTCATTCAACCCTGCCTGAGATGAAGCAAGGACTGCAGACACATTGCACCAGTGCTGAGGCACAGGGCTAGGGGCCTGAGGTTCTGTGGCTCTGCAGTTGGGGGTCATGTATAGGTGTGGCCTAGGTGAGCTTCTCCCAGTAGCCTTGGGAGGCTACAACCATTTTTGTGAAATCCTCCGTTGCAGTGCACCTCCAACTGCCAGACCAGCCAGGACTGGCCTGGAATTCACACATCTGCCCCACTGGTTGCACATGGATACCTGAGATAGCCCAAGAAGACAGGCCCATAAGCCCTACAGCCTGTGGCTCTGCCCAGCCCAGTCATGTGGTTTCTCTGAAGGGCCCCCCTTCTGTTTTGACATCTTAGAAGGGCAAACCCCAGCTCGAGGCTAATAGACATTGCCCCAGTCCTACTCTCCAGGGGGACACTCAGGGAGCACCCTGCTCATTGAGATGGGCATGGGGGAGGACCAGGAGCCCCGAGGCTGGGCAGAGGGAGTGGAAAGAAGGCATAGAAGCTGCAGAGAGCCCCACCAGGTGACTGTGAGCACCTCCCTTGCTAGCATATGCTCGCCTGGCCTCTTGCGACATGACAGCTTCGAAAATCCTTGAGCAAAAACAGCCCCCTGTGTGTTAATTAGAATTTCCATGTCTTCAACTTTCTCCCGGACCCTGCAGAATCTCACGCCAAAACGTTCAAGTTGCTCTTTTCCAGCGAGGCCGCTGTGGCCTGGCTTTCATCCACATCACTACTAATGTCTCCTGAATTCTGCATTTGTCAGCAAGGACAGGGCCAGTCTGTGCTGTCTGGAAATAAGGGCAAACGTCACAAGGGTGGCCCCAAATTTGGCTCCATGGACCAGGGGATAGCTCTTTTGATGGGACCAGCTTTGCCTGGGACATTTTGGAGACATCCAGAGCCCACTGTGGCCCACTCCCACAGACCCCAAGGTGCCAGGCACTGCAGCTCTGTGAATGCCTAAGCTCCTCACCATATTTTTCTCCCTTTAAACTTTGGTGGGAAAGAACAGAGAGGCCATTCTGGGACCAGTGTCCAGAAGGACAAGTGAGGGGCCTGACAGAACAGATGAGACTATTTTGTCTTTCTAGACCAGTGTCCTGTCTTCTGCAAAGCCCCAGACCACCTCTGTCTGCATGAGATGCCAAGGAAGCCCCCTGGGAGTCTGCCCGGGAGGGCTGTG